ATGCCGGCGAGCTACCGGTATCGCGGCCAAAGCATAATGGCGAAGCTAAAAAATAGGGTAAAGCTTAAATTGCACGAAAGCGTTTGGAGCGCGAAAAATTTAAAAAACCGACCCCGGGTGCCCGAAAGGGTACGAAAAAAAAAAGGTTAAAAAAAAACAATTTTTGTTAGCGATAATACCTTTGGTAAAAGATTTACGGAAGCTTAATAAAGGAAATACCGCATTTGGCCCGTAACCCGGTAATTACCCGCCTTTGCACCGATTAACCCTTAATATATTGTTCCTTTTTTTACACCTTTTTTATTTGGGGAGCAGGCCCGGGTAATTACCGAAAAGGATTAAGCAAATTTAAAAAAGGCATTTGCGATTTCGCACCGTTTATAATAACGCCCGACGCTACGTTAAGCACGTTGGAAAAGGCCGTTGGGCTATTAAAACAAAATACCAAAAAAGCCCCGCAAATTTCCAACGATTTCGAAAACCTTTTTGTAAAAAAATTGTAAAAAATAAACAACGCGCTAAAAGCCCAAAGCAAACGCGCCCGTTTAATTTAAAAAATCCAAAATAAAAGGTCGAAACATACGCATAAAAGTTTAAACGAAAATAAAAAAAATACTTTTAAACAACGGAAGGGTTTTACGTAAAGCAAAGTTACTTTTAAACCTTTTATGCTTAAAAAATCGGCAATTTGGCAAAATATTGCCCATTACATTAACAATTACAAATTTATTTTCGAAAGCAAAAAGGAACGTTACGGTAAGGACCGTATAAAGGTTTAAATAGCTTTTAGCACTTTCGATTATTATCGGCGGGCACAATGGACAAAATATAAGTAAATGCATTATTTAAATACCGGGGTATTATTTATTTAGGCCGATTTTTTGCGGTAGTTTTAAGCAAAGTCGAAAAACCCCGATTTGCAAATATAATTGGCGATTAAAAAGTTTGCGGGGGATATCGCTATTAAGCAAAAGGATTACGAATTATTTAAAGCGTTCCGGATTTGCTAGGATTTGGTAAAAAACGATTTTTCCGAATTAGCACCCAAATGGATAAGGACAACATTGCTTTTTAACCGGTTCCGCCCCGAAATTTAAAAACGGGTAATATTTAAAAGCTTTTTTTACATTATAAAAAAATTGCAAGCTAAAGCTTTTAAAGCAAAAATAATATTAAAACCGTACAAAAGGACCCCGGGGGATACAAGTGTCCTAGCTTTTAAAAAGCCGGTTATTTGCTTTAAATACGGGCAGTTAAGCTACATCGTTGCAGCATGCAAAATATGGACGGATAACCCGGAAACCCCGTTAGCCCTAACAACCATACAAAAGGCAAAAAGGAAAAGGCCCGAAGTACGGTATTACGGGTATAAAAAGCTGGGCCATATCCGGCCGGCGTGCTTTAAAAAAAGCAAAATATTGCTACCCAATTCGATACCGTTATTTAGCCATTTAAGCACCGGGGTTTAAAAATGCGCCCCGGCGGTTAAAACGCGTTAAAAAACCGAAATATATTTACGGATTAACGGTTACCGGGTAAAGTTAAAAGCATTGGTTAATAATAAAAGCAACGTTAACCTATTGCATAACCGTTTTTTGGTAAAAGCAAAAAAAATACCGGTGCTAAACGGGGGCTATTTAGCGTGGTTCGATACCAAAAAATGCATATTTACGCTAAAGGTAAAAAAATACAAAATTCGGGTAACGGATAGTTAGGGAATAACCCAAAAGTTAATGGTATTTTACGTAATAATGCCCCGGACCGGGTACAACATTACGTTAAGCATGCTTTGGCTTTAGCAAAAAAACATTAAAATCCGGTTTAGGGATATAAAGTAAAGGTTTCCGGTAATTATTAAAAAGGTTAAAATAATTTTATTGGAAATAGCTAAAAAGCTAATCCAATCGGGACAAACGATAGCCGTATTAACGATTGCACGCCCGGAAATCCCGGAAAATCCCGGGAAAAGGTTAAAAGCTTTCCCGGAATAGGTTAAAAGAATAATTGCAAAATATGCGCAACTTTATAAATTAAACCCTTTGTTAAAATATACAAATTGGGATTATGCGATCGAATTAAAGGAAAAAACGATGCCGCTTTACGAAAGCATTTATTTTTTATCCAAAAAGGAATTAAAAATTTTCCGGAGGTATTTTAACAAGGCTATAACGAAAGGTTGGATTTGGCATTTAATTAACCCCGCCGGCGCCGGAATTTTGTTCGTTTTAAAAAAGGACGGGAAGTTCCGCTTTTGTATCGATTATCGGGGTTTTAATAAGGTTATTAAAAAAAACCGGCTAATATTCCCGTTAATTTACGAAATATTTAACCGGGTGTTTAAAAATTAGTACTTTACCAAATTGGATTTAAAAAACGTTTATTATAAAATACGGATCCGATAAAAAAACGAATAAAAAATTGCTTTCCGTTGCAAGTATGGATATTACGAATATTTGGTAATGCCTTTCGATTTGGCCAACGCTTTAGCAACGTTTTAAAGCTTTATTAATATAGCGCTTGGGGAATTAATTAATAGCAATTGCATTGTGTATTTGGACGATATTTTTATTTTTTTAAAAATATAGGAAAAGCACCGCAAGGCAATAAAAACGGTGCTAAAGCAATTCGAACGGTTTAAGCTTTACGTTAGCCCGGCCAAATGCAAATTCGAAACGGATAGTATCGATTTTTTAAAATTTAGGATAACCAAATTCGGGGTCGAGATTTTGCCGGATAAAGTTATTGCGATTTTAAAGTAAAGGATACCGGAAAGCGTTAAAAACATTTAAATGTTTTTGGGCTTTACGGGGTATTATTGGAAATTCGTAAAAGGCTACGCGAAAATTACTATGCTTTTAACGGATTTTTTTAGTAAAAATACCGTATTTTATTTAAAAAATGTTGCGAAAAAGGCTTTTTGCAAATTAAAGCTATTGTTTACAAAAGTTTCGGTATTGGTGCATTTCGACCTTTCGAAACCGTTATGCGTGCGGACTAACGCTTTAGCTTTTGCAATAAGGGCGGTATTATTGTAATTGCAAAATGGCCGGTAGCACCCGGTGGTTTACATATCGAAAAAGCTGCGATAAAAAAAATTGCGCTATGCAATTTTTAATTTAAAATTGCTAGCGATCGTAAAAGCTTTCGAAAAGTAACGGCATTACCTAGCTTATTTACAAAAAATTGTTAAGGTAATTACCAACCATTTAAATTATACCCATATTTTAATAAAGGAAAAGGTAATAAAGCGTTAAACAAAATGGTTCGAAAATTTAGCAAAGTATAATTTTACGATTAAATGGAAGCCAAAATACCGGAACCCCGCGAATGGTTTGTTAAAACGTTCCCAAAATATACCCGTGGACGGGGAAACCAATAAAGCAAAAAAAAAATTCCGAAGCGATTTGCTAGCCAAATTTCGAAAAGTAGCTTACGTAAAAACGATTATTATTAAAAAAAATACCAAAACGATATTAAAGCGTATCCTTAAAGTACAAATAAAGGACGATTTCGTTTAAAACGGTATTTAAAAAAACAAACTTAACGTTTAAAAAATTAGCAACGGTTTATTTAAGCACAAAAAGAAAGTTTAAATTCCGAATTTAATACCGTTTAAACGGATAATGCTTTAAAAACAATACAATAACCCGACGGGGGGTTACAAAAGCATGGCCAAAATTTTAAAAAAGCTTAAACGGCAATTTAAATAACCGGGTATAGCTAAAAACGTACGCAAATACGTACGGACGTATTAAATATGCCAGCAAACGAAGCCAAAAATATAAACACTTTACGGGCTGCTAGCATTTTTGCCCGTACCAAACCGCCCGGGACAAAAGCTATTAATGGATTTTATCGAAAAATTTTTAACGTTGGTGGATGGAATTGGCAAAAAGCGCAACGTAATATTGGTAATGGTCGACCGGTTTACTAAATATAGCTTTTTTATCCTAACGTTTACAAAGTTAATTAGTAAAGAATTGGGGAGCTTTTTGTTTGCATACGTTTAAAGGTTATTAAAAACGCCCGAAAGGATTGTATTAAACCGGAATAAGCTATTTACAAACGGGTTTTGGACAACCTTCGCCGGATATTTAAAGGTTGCAAAAAGGTTATCGATAGCATACCACTTTTAAACCGACGGGCAAACGGAACGAACGAACCAGGCAGTAAAGCATTATTTTCGGTGCTTTTGCTGCAAAAAGCAAAACGATTGGGCGTTACTATTGCACTTAGCAACGTAAGTGTACAATACGAACGTGCATTTGGGGTCGCAAAAAACCCCGGCGTTTTTGTTAATAAGGTTTTACTTACGAAAGTTTTATAATTTTCGGGTAATTAAAAAAAAATTTTCGGTAGCGGTTAAAGTTAGGGCGGGGGCTTTGGAAGCAATTAAAAAGCAAGCCAAAAGATTGCTAAAAAAAGCGAATAATATATACAAAAAGTATTATAATAAGGGCAGGACCCCGGTGCCTTTCGGGGTAAGCAATTGGGTGCTATTAAGTACGGCGAACATTAAAATAAAAAGGCTATCGAAAAAGCTATCGAACAAGTGGTTGGGACCCTTTTAAGTCCTAAAAATGGTTGGGTTAGCCGGTTTGGCGTTTCGGTTAAGGCTTCCGGTAAGTTACCGGATATACAACGTGTTCCCGGCAAATTTGTTGCGGGCGTTTAAAAAAAAGCCCGGCGAAAAACCAAAAAATAAAAAATTAAAAATCGAAAAAAAAAAAAGGATCGTTTCGAAATAAAAGCTTTGCTAAAATATAAAAGGCCTTTGCGGAAACGAAAATACCTGGTTAAATAAATAGGTTACAATAAATCGGAAAATTTGTGGATTTTAAAAAGGGATATTACGAAAGAAATTGTTTAAACGTATAAAGCAAGCTTATTAAAAGCGAGCTTATAAAATAAGGAAAATACCGGACCTTAGCGGGTAAATACCCGGAAAAAACGGGGGTATTACAAGAAAGGAATAATAAGGGCTAAAAAAATAGCCCAAAAAAATGTTTTAACGTGCTAAACCGGTTGGCCATTAGGGAAAAACGTAAAAAAACCCGTAAGCGGCTTGTAATAGCCGTAAAATATCGTGCTTTATAAACAAAAAGTTAAATAAAAACGGTATAATACAAAGGACGCCCCAAATTAATGGTGCAACATATTTAAATTCCGAAGGACATGCAAAGTGTAACATATTTCGGAAAGCCCGTAAGGGGCATGCTTGGCGCAATACGCTAAAGCAATTACCGCATTTTAAACGTACGTCGTGGTAAAAAACATTATTGCTTGCCCGGAAAGGAAGTAAAAAAATTTCCGGATGGTATAACGAACGGGCTTAAGCGTTCGGGTAGCGGTAAATGCATGTTAACGGTATTTAAACCCATTAAAAAAGCGAAAAAAAAGCATTTTAAAACTATTTATTAAGGCATTAAAGCCCAATTGGTAAATATGGATACCGAAACCTTGCAATGCTGCAAAAGCAGCATAACGAAAGGAAACTATGGTTTTAATTGTAACAAATTAACGAAAAAAATTTAAAACTAACCACCTTTCGAAAAAGGAATACCAATAATTAATTAAGAAAATATATAAAAAAAATCGATTAAATGCCGTATCCAAAGGAACCAAAACCTTTGGAAATTACGTCCTTTTTGCTAGCGTTATAATCGTTGCCGCCAAAGTTATTAGCGCCGAAAGCGGTATTTCCCGGCGCCAATACGGACGCCGTACCCTTACGGGGAGCCGCGCGGTTGTAAGCCTGGGTATTTAAATGCGCCGCAATCGTAGCAAAGCTAACGGCAATGCTATTAAAAAAAGCAATTATACCTTTTTCGAAACGCTTAAAAAACGTTTTTACTTTGTTAAAGAAATTACCGATGCCAGCCAAAGCTTAAGCTTGCTTTTTCGTTTAAACGGCGATAGCGTAAAATTATTGGGAAATGTTTTAAATAATTTTTAATATCGCAGCGCTAGCAATTTTGCGCTAAATGCGTTTTTAAATAACGGTTTAACGTTTATAACGCGCAAATTGTTTGGTTAACATGGTATAAAAAGATTTAGCTTTTTAAATAACTTTGCGGGCGCGAAATTGGGCTTTAATAAATTTTTTAAAAAATTCCGGTATCGCTTCGAACAACCGTTTGTAAACGGTATTTAAAATTTTGTAAAGGTTTTGGGCCATTTTTTAAAACCATTCGGAAAGCTTAACGCAAGCTTTGTTACTAACCACGTTTTTGCAATAAATACATTTAAAGGACCCCGTACAATTATTGGAGCATATTGGTATACGGGGGTTAACGGCATAGTTTTAATATGCTTAACAACCAAAACAGCGGTTACAAAATACCGCACGCTCCGTATAATTGTTTTTAAAAAGGGGCAAATAAATAAGGTTTTAATTATCGCTTTATTGGAAATCGATAACCTTTTGTAACGGGAGCGCGTTGCGGATACTTATATAAAACGAAAAAAAGGCAATGTCCGTTTTGGGGGCAAGTTTATTAAAATTAAAGGCGTTGCGGCGGCGTTCGTTGCGCGCTTTACGCTTTTTTTCGGCGGAAATTTTTTTGCCGCGGCGGTTAAAGCCCGCCGGAAGGTTATTAGCAAAACGTTTGCGGGAATTTTAAAAGGCTGCAAGCGCAAAAGGGCCCAATAAACCCGCAATATTTAAAAAGCTTACCGAAAGGTTACCGGCAAAGCGATCGTTAAGGATTTAAAAGATTAAAAGTTCCGGCAAAACCAAATCCAAATTTAATTAAACTACGATAATTAAAAAAAATACCGGGGAATTGCCAAAAAGGGCTAACGAACCGGTTAAAACCGAAAAACCCAAAGCGGATACCCAAAGGAATACCATTTTCCTTACGTAATTGGGTACAAAGGATAACATTTATAATTACCGGTTAGGTCCAAATGTCCAAAAGGAACGGCCAAATACCAATTATTTACGGTTACAATCGTTAAAGTTATTGGAATGGTTGTTAAATGCACAAAAAGGAAAAAAAAAAGGCTCGTAGCTTCGAACGGGAAAAAAAGCCTTTTATATGCCGGTACGGACCCATTTTTCCGGATATTACAAAGCTTTATAACCGGTTTCCCCAAACGTTGCCAGGCATTGGGGCGGCTTAGCGAAATACCATAAGCTACCGGCTACTTACGGGGTTGCACGCACGGTACAAGCGGTTTGGGATAAGCCGTATCGGAAAAGGGCAATATGTTAAAAGCACGGGCAAAACCGCCCGGCAAAAAGCGGGAAGCGTTAAATGTACGGGCAAAACCGCCCAGTAAAAAAAAGGAAAAGGGCGCTAACAACTAGCCGGGCACGGACTTTCCGGGGATATGCCGGCAAGCTACCGGTATTGCGGCCAAAGCATAATGGTAAAGCTAAAAAATAGGGTAAAGCTTAAATTGCACGAAAGCGCTTGGAACGCGAAAGATTTAAAGGACCGACCCCGGGTGCCCGAAGGGGTACGAAAAAGGGGGAGGTCAAAAAAGGAACAATCTTTGTTGGCGATAGCACCTTTGGTAGGAAATTTACGGAGGCTTAACAAAGGAAACACCGCATCCGGCCCGTGACCCGGTGACTACCCGCCTCTGCACCGATTGACCCTTAACAGCGGGGCCTACCTCCTTCCTTAGCTGTTGGTCGTAACAACATCCCCGGTTTATAAACCGCACAAGTAATTTGGTAAAGCGATCGGTAATTTACAAAATTTGTTTGTGGCTAGACCTATTTCCACAAGCAGTACAAAGGGGTTTAGCCCATTCCAGTAACATAATAAATAAGGACGGAAAAGGAATAAAAGAAAAACAGGAAAGTGGTTAAGAAAATAAGAAAAGAATTAGTAATTATATGTCGGGTTAAAGTTAGTTTTGTACGGGATGATGTTTTGGTAAAAACATTGATGCAATAAGGGAAAGAGAAACCCACGGCACTAGCAATTTTGATCTCGGGGACCTGCACTGCTTCCATTAACCCCTGAACCCAACAACATGAAGCTATCCCGCGACTTGGGTGTCGAGATCAATGCGAATTGATATCTTGCTCAAACATACATAAAGATCTCAAATGACGCAGAATCGATTAAAAAATTTAGCTTGCAGCCACTGGTAAATCAGAGATGGCTGCCTGGGAGCATGTAGGAGTCTTGAGAGCTGACGCCAAGATCGTCCGTGGCGTCAATGGGTTAACCCGTGATCACTCCTTGATGAGAGTAGCCTGACCTGTGATCAGGCCCCCGGCCAGAAACATATATACTCATAGATCTGCTCGGACTAGACCCACCCCCTACTGCTATCTACATAGCACCTCGCAACCCCGTCCGTTATGCCCAAGCTCGCGACATGACCAAGCCAACCAGCCTCGTAGACGGGTTATGTCTCGGAGAGCATGAAGAGGCCGTCATCGATTATCTCCTTCCTCAGAACACGAAAGGTCGGCCCTAATCATCCGTTGAGTCACTAGCTCGGCTAAGTGAGGTCTTACTAACTCGGCCGCCCCTACCACTTCTATCCGTCGGGCAGACGAATTTATCGAGTTGTCATCCCTGAGACGGCAATGGCTTTCCCAGGGAGGGAAGATCTTCGAGCTTTGCAAGCTTGCTCAGCATCGGCTGGACGGCTGCGATGCTGGCCATGAACATTGTCGCCGTGCCTTTCGTTCATCTCCGGCGCCTGCGCAACTACCATGTCGGCTCATTCTGCTCGACAACTTGGACTGTGGGGACTTGAGGATCGTCCGCACTTCCGACATGGGCGAACAGACGGTTCGGTATTGCGCCCTAAGCTACCGCTGGCCAGATGGCGCGCACGCGTACACCATTCTCACCTCTTAGAATGAAGATGAGTGTACACAGGGGTTCAAACTGGGAACACTTGTCTCCGGACTGCAGGATGCATGCCATTTCGCGAAGCTCATTGGATTCCGCTACATCTAGATCGACGCTCTGGTATGTTCATCTGAGTTCAGAATACAGCCAAGTTCCGCATATATTCGCATCACAACCATCTAACGGTTACATGCTTGTGGAAAGTGCATTCAACAGGGCCGGGGCGGCGACTGGTATGCTCAGGCACAGGTGATGGATACAGTCTACACCAATGCAGCCGTCACTATTTCCCTTGCTGATGGCACCGGCCTCGACAGGTTGGCTCGGGTACGGGAGACGTCCTTCATCTCGAACCCGCAAGCTCTCTGCAGCATGCTGTCTGGTATTCCATGCCAGACCAACCCGGGCCTCGATATTCCATCGTCCTCCCAAGAGAGACTGTACCGGGCACTCACTGCGACTCACAACTTTGTTTCTCGGCCGTGGGGCATCCTCGACAGCCGTGCCTGGGCTTTCCAAGAGCGGCTCCTTTCCCGCCGCATCATCAGCATCACTCGCGAGGGCTTGTTTTGGGACTGTCTGCACCATTCGGCCTCTGATCGGAGACCCGCTGGCATCAAGGGTGACCATTCGCCCGAATTCAGGGACTCTGACGACCGCAACCTCAAACGGCTCTTGCTCGGCGCTCTGCCAGGCCCCTTTGAGGCTTCAGACTCGGTCCCCCTCGCGTCTCGAAACGCGTCCCGATCGGATCTGCTTCGGCACTGGCGTCGGATCCTTCAGCAGTATACCAAGCGATCCCTTACATACCAGACGGACAAGCTTGTTGCTGCAGATGGAGTGATGGGGCGGATGGGCAAGCTCCTTCTAGACGACAACGTTCTGGGGATATGCCGTACCGATGCGGTTCGGTGTCTTCTCTGGTTCGAGGAGCCCAGATTCGACGTTCTCCGTCACCTACGCTCAAGAAATAAACTCGCACTTCCGGATCCTGCCTTTCAGCGACCGGATCCATCTCGCCAATATATAACCCCGGATAGCCTCACGCCCAATCTCACAGTACCTTCTTGGTCCTGGGCTGGATCTGTGAATCCCATACAATACCGCCTCTGGCATCCGCGCAACAGCAACCAGGACTCGCCCAAGGAGCAGTTCACCGAGCTAGCTACCGTCAAGTCCATGTATACGCAACGAAGCGATGATGAGCTTTTGGGCAGTTATGAGGGGCTACTTGTCCTCGAGGGGCACTGTGTGTACTGCTTCATTCACGGCTCCAACGTCCATGCCTATTACTCTGCTGGTCGTCCGTTCGAGTCCTGGCTCAGAGGCCGCAGACCTCGAGACGGGTCATTGACCGAGTCTACGCCCCTGCTCGCCGATGATGTCGACGGATATCTGACCAGACGCCAAGCGCACCATCGAGAGCATGAGACAAGACGGCAAACAGAGAGCTGGCCAGAAGAGCGGCTGCGTGCGGATCACATGGCAAGACGCGACTTCACATTCTTACGCAACCACTTTGAGGGTAACCTAGCCGGAGACGCGCCGAGAGGATCGCATTCGAACCACCAAAACTACGAGATGGCCCGCCTGCTGCTGGTGGGTAATGGTGGCTATGACCGCTTCAACATGGGACAGCATTGCATGGTGCTCCGGCAGGTCGGGTTGGGATGGAAACGGATTGGAATCTGTGTCTTTGAGGCGCAAAAGTGCTGCCTCCAGGACCCGCGGCGCTGTCAAAGGGGGTGTATTTCTGCGGAGGGTATAAAGCCGTGCCTTGGGTTTTGGGATCGGGTTGAAGTCGAGTAAGGGACTGGGTTATTCGCAACTGAGCTGCCCCTGCTTCACGTTGATGACATTGAGCGCTGTGCCTCTCCCACTGTGGCGCAGTTAGTGCGCTTGCGCCCATCAAATCGGACCGCCGCGCCCGTCTCGGAGCCCGACGGCGATCGCAGCCCCTGTCCACATTTTCTGCTTCCCCTGAAGGGTGCTGGGGCAGCGGGAGCTAGTGACATCGCTTGGCAGAGTCAAATTTCAATTCAACAATTATTGAGTGAACTCGCGGAATCAGACATCTTGGGTGGTTCCGGTTGTTTCTTCGCCCCAAAAACCATCGACAAATCTCAAACGGCTGAGCACTTGTCGCAAACTACAGTACATTTACTATACCAGATCAGTCTATTTTGGGTTGCCTTGTTCCTTCACCGACGTCATCCTAACTGCTGCAATGGCCTCCTCCAGCACCGACAAGGGCGCAGGGCCGCTCAAGACTCCCATTGCCGCTCCTCTCAGCACATGCACGGTCCCGGAGCAGACACCCCTGACGGCTGAGCAGGAGACCAAATACAGCTGGCTGCTGGAACAGATCAAGGAGTGGAAGGATGTGCCCTCGCAGAAGGACAAGGAGTATGCCGGGCCGCTCACCGACAGCGAGCGCATGTGGCTGACGCGGGAGTGCCTGCTGCGCTACCTGCGCGCGACCAAGTGGCACGAGAAGGAGTCGGAGAAGCGCATCCGCGACACCCTCGCCTGGCGCCGCGAGTTCGGCGTCGAGCGCCTCAGCTTTGACCACATCTCGCCCGAGCAGGAGACGGGCAAGCAGGTGATCCTGGGCTACGACAACGAGGGCCGCGCCTGCCACTACCTCAACCCGGGCCGCCAGAACACGGAGCCCTCTCACCGCCAGGTCGAGCACCTCGTCTTCATGCTCGAGCGCGTCATCGAGCTCATGCCGGCCCAGCGCGACAAGCTGGTGCTGCTCATCAACTTCAAGACGAGCAAGAGCCGCTCCAACACGGCCCCGGGCATCGGCCAGGGCCGCGAGGTCCTCCACATCCTCCAGACCCACTATCCCGAGAGGCTGGGCCGTGCCCTGATCGTGAACGGTGAGGCTGCGCCCGATTTCTTTGCAACCATTTACAGCACGGTCCCACTAACACATTGCCCAAATCAGTGCCCTGGGTTGTTTGGGGCTTTTTCAAGCTCATCACGCCCTTCATTGACCCCTTGACCCGTGAGAAGCTCAAGTTCAACGAGGATATGCGCCAGTATGTCCCCGCCGACCACCTGTGGGCCGAGTTCAACGGGGCCCTGGAGTTTGACTACGACCATGCCACGTACTGGCCTGCCCTGCAGAAGATGTGCGAGGAGCGCCGCGCCGAGAGGGAGCGCAGGTGGGGCGCGGGTGGGAAGCAGATCGGCGAGCTTGAGGACTACCTCAGTGGGCACGTTGCCCAGGGCGTCGCGCCGGCCGGCTCCGCTGCCGCCGATGCCCCTGCCCCTGCCCCTGTTGCCGCTGATGTAGTGGTGGCAGCCCCGGCCTTGTCCTCTAAGCCGGCAGGAGACCTAATGGACGAGAAGAAGGCCGGCGAGGACCAGGTCGAGGATCTGCAGGTGGGCGAGCTGAAGGTCATCTGAGAAGTGATGACAATCCCCGTGAGCCTCATTCACAGGAAGCCACAAGCGCAAACGGGAGCCAGGCCGAGACCACAGTACCATATACCTTAATAAGCGACGACTGCATCGGAATCATTCTAATGAGGGGCCAGGGACATTGATAGATAGACTGTTTCTAGACGTTTGGCATGTTTCAAATTCGAATACAGTACTTTTGCGATATAGAAGCCTCTTTAAAATGTAGCTACAAAGATGTGATCAATCCAGTGTTTATGTCTGTTTGTGTCATCTCAACATCTGCAGCTGAGCTGATGGGTGGGCTCCATTTCAATCAGTCCATGCGCTGCATCGATTCCTTTTTCAGCAGCATGCGCCCCGCCTTGGAGCCCGCCCAGGAGCCCGCCCACGACCCGCACTCGTGCTGTGCTGGAATCAAACGGGCGGGCGTCATCGCGCAAACGACAATCGGCGTAGGAATCCTCAGCACAAGCTCCCAGCCTGCGACGCCCGTCAATCGACCTCCACCACGCTCCCACCCATACACCTCGGACGCCCCGAACCGCCATGGCCAACAACCCCGGAAAGCCCACAGGCAAGGAGCCCGGGCTGCGATACCCATCCAACGGCAAGACCATCTACCACAGGCCATTAAACCGTGGCAAGACGGCCGAGCTGAGCCAGGCCAGCTTCGCGTACCTGTTTGCCGAGATGGTGACCTATGCACAACGGCGCATCACCAACATCCAAGACCTGGAGAAGCGGTACGGTCGGCCCCGATACCCCTCTCTCAACGCACCATCTTTTTCTAACGAAACCACCCCACACATACACCTCCCAGACTCAACATGCAGGGCCACCCCATCGGCGTCAAGCTCCTCGACCTCCTCCTGTACCGCGAGCCGGCCAAGACGCAGGCGCGGCCGCTCAACATTATCGCGCTGCTGCACCTGATCCAGCGCAACGTGTGGACGCACCTGTTCGGGCGCCAGGCCGACCGGCTCGAGCGCAGCAGCGACGCCGACCGGCCCGACGAGTACATGATCGTCGACAACGAGCCGCTCGTCAACGCCTACATCAGCGTGCCCAAGGACATGTCGCAGCTCAACTGCGCCGCCTTCAGCGCGGGTGTCATCGAGGGCATCTGCGACGGCGCCGGCTTCCCCGCCCGCGTCACGGCCCACACGACTGGGTCCGCCGAGGAGCTCGAGATGTGGCCGGGCAGGACCGTGTTCCTCGTCAAGTTCGCGTCCGAGGTCGTCGAGCGGGAGAACTACCTGCCCAAGAGCTGAGGGTCTTTTTTGGGGGTGAGCGCTGGCGGGCAAAGACGAAGACGAAGCATGAATTTTTGGATTGGTTTTGGTTTTTATGATGCTTGGTTGGGCATAGGCGTGGCGTTTCGGTGGTTCATCGTTATCCTACTGTAGAATGGGATTTTCCTTTGCACGATAACGTAGGCGCGGAACTTGGAGTTACTGCAAACCCAAACAGGTATAGAGAGAATTAGGCTTGGTGACGCCCTGATGACACGAGGCACAGAAAATAGTCAACAGCGTCTGTCCTCCAAAACGAAATGGGTATCGGTTGTATCGCTCATTGCTCCCCCAAGACATGATGTATCATAAAACGCTGTCCAATCATCTTCACCACCTCCTCCCCAGCCACGCCACAGACCCGCCTCCCGCCACTCGATCACCGCGGCATCCCCTGGTGCCTAAGCGCGAGCTTCTTGGCCGCGCGCTTGGCCGAGCCGGCGGTGGGGGCGACAGCCGACGACGACGAGCCTCCTCCTCCTCCTCCTCCTCCGGCGGCGGCGCCGGGCCCGCGGTGCATCAGCTCGGCGAGGCCCAGGTCCTTCCACGCGGCCTCCCTCGTCTTCTGGGTGGCCTTTGTGATGCCGAAGGCGGCGTGCTGGTCCGGCACCACGTCGTCCTCGTCCTCGGGGTTGATGGGCTGGTGGTGCGCCGGCACGAAGATCTCGTCGGCCGGCAGCTTGTCCCTGCTAAAATCCTCAAACAGGTCCGCGTCGCGCTGCCGGTGCATGTGGATGTGCGTGTAGCAGCCGTCTTTGTTTTGCGACTGTTTGGTTCCGGCAGGGTTAGTTGCTGGGCCGGCTGCTCCGGGTTCTGCTGATCCTTTGCTTCTCTCCAAGGCCCTGGGAAGGGGAAACGCACCATATTTACTGTGGTTTTTGGTCTGTCCAGGCTGATGATGCCGCGTCTTGTTCTGGGAGCAAAGGCGGCGGGGCTCAAACTCCGCCATTGACTGCCTGTGTTTGGTTCAAGGGTTAGGGTATCGGTCAATCCAAGCAGAGCAAAAAGGACATTCGAACCCTTCACACATCAACTTCCCCAAAGGCCACCGCAATCGCAAGCAACAGCCATTAATCATGAAAGCCAGCCGACTTCTCCATCCGGAACTTGGACCGTCTTGGCAAGTATCAATCGGGAAGGTCGGGAACCCCATGCCAAGGGCGTCCATCGGGCTGTGGAGGTCGTCGGCCGTTCCTGGCGGGATTGCCAAATCGCCTCATGCCTCTCGTGAACGCAACGCTCGCACGTGGGAGGCCCCTAAGATCAGTTCTAATTTTAAAAATTTGAGCCTCACTGTATCTCAGGATAAGAGTCCCTAGGCGGGACATTGAACGAGATGATGCGCGTTCCCGACGCTGCCAGCTCGGATCCGTAACCGAGCCTCTGGGACCTCATCGTGGGCCCCCGAGGTCGGCCACGTGTTGGAGATCACTGGCGGCGGCAAGGGGTGACCCTGGGGCACCCCACCCTCGCCTTCTCCAGTCCACTCCCCTGACCCGCAAGGAGCGCATGAAGTTGGCCGACGGCCCTGGGCAATAGTATCTGGCAGTCGGCTTTGCGGTCAACTTCTCGCACGGCTTGCGGTTGTTGCCAAGCTTCTTGACAGGCTAGAATGAGGAGAATGAGGAGACCGATGTCCTGGCGTGCGTGCTTGACTGGGTCCCCCAGCATCTCCATGTAGCATCCATGAGGGGACAAAGGCCCACTACCATGGCGCATGCAGTATATAGGTAGATCCAGAGAACGCCCACGGTTCACTTTCCCTTCGGAACCTTGTCAGCCTTGTGCTCAACGGCTGCCGTGACCATCTCCCTGGCCCTCCTCTGTCAGCAGTCCCTCGCAGCTCGGACAGCGACACCAATCTCAGGAGACAAGATGAAGAGTTCCATCCTTGGTGCTGCTCTGGCCCTCGTGCCTTCAGCACTTGCTGGATGGCCCGAGGCCGAGGGCAAGTCTATCAAACTGACTGCGGTCCGGGGCTATTTTCTTCAAGACGAGCCCACCACCGAGCCCAGCGGTTTCGACTATGTAACTCCTGCGGCGCTCGACAGCTACATTTCTCGGCAACGTGACCCCATCTGCTAACACCCTCATTAGGCCGCGACAAACTTCGGTTTGATCGAGAGGTCATACCCAACCGACAAGCGCCTCGATCCCGAGGGCGTCAAGTCACTATGGGAAAGGTTCGACAACTGGGTCAGATACCTGAACAAGGGCTGCCGCAAGTCTGAGACGGTTCGGTACAAGGTGCTGTTCATGGGCCGCCACGGTGAAGGTTGGCACAATGCTGCCGAGCGCTTCTACGGCACACCCGCCTGGAACGTGAGTATTTGACCCCAAACCCAACCCAAGATTCCATAGCTAACCTTCTACGACAAAAAAAGTGCTATTGGGCGGAGCAACAAGGCAACGCCACTGCCCGCTGGGCCGACGCACACCTCACGCCGGCGGGCGAGGCGGAGGCGATCAAGGCCAACGCGTACTACAAGGACCGCTACGCGACACAGAAGATGCCCTTCTTCGAGTCCTACTACAGCAGCCCCCTGGCCCGCTGCACGGCCACGCTCAACCTGACGTTCGCCGGCATCGACTTCCCCGAGGGCCGGCCCTTCCGCCCCGTCATCAAGGAGGGCTTCCGCGAGGGCATGACGGTGCACACGTGCAACTGGCGCTCCGACCGCGCCCAGATCGCGGCGCAGTACCCGGACTGGGCCTTCGAGCCGGGCTTCGCCGAGGCCGACGAGCTCTGGAGCCCCGTCAACAGCGAGACGGACGCGGCCAAGGACGTGCGGGCCGCGCGCGTGCTCGACGACGTCTTCCGCGCCGACGACAAGACGTGGCTGGCCGTCTCGAGCCACTCGGGCCAGATCACGAGCCTGCTCAAGGCGCTCGCCCACCGGCCCTTCCGCCTGGCCACGGGCCAGATCATCCCCGTCCTCGTCAGGGCCGAGGTCGTCGACCCCGTGCCCGACCCGACCTTTGACGCCCACGAGCCCTACTCGACCTGCGACGCCCCGCCCGTCGCCAGCATCCCCGGTCAGGGCTGCGTGTGCGCGAGCACCACTGCCCCGGCTCTCCTTCCGGCTGCCACTGGTGCCGTTTTCTAAGGAGATCTTTTCGAAAAGGGCTACATTGTGAATCTAGGCCAAGTTCACAGCTTACATACCGCATGATGTGATTCGCTGTATTCTACAGAATAGATACTGCACCCACGTCCTAAGGGGGGCATAATTGGGGACAAATAACCCCCCTGAACAACGGACAAATAAATGTAATCGAAAGTTCTTCATAATCTGAGATCCCAAAGTATCGGAACGACTCTTCCCAAACAGCCACGACGCAGCGACCAGAGTCACACGATTGTTCATTGACGCAAAAACAGGCAGGGGTCAGAGAGGGTATCACCAGGCGAAGGAGGGGTTCATCCCGCAGCTCATTGCTTGTGCCGCGGCTAAGCATTTGTCCTCCCCACATCCCACACGTACATAAGCACAAACTTTACCCGTAACTGCCAGCAACAGGAATGGTGTAAGGGCTAGCATGGAGGCTTCCCACTTTCAAGTGGCCTGAAAGAGGATACTGCTTCCGATCCGGGTTCGAGTCCCGGTTCCTGTATATCTTTTGCTGGTTGGCTTGCTCTTTTTGACGACATCTCATCCATCTTCATGAATGATTGCTGCGCTCTTTTTTTCCTTTTTCATTTTCGGGACGCATCATATTTTATCACCAGCCGTATGGTCGTTCTTTAAAACCCGTGATACCAATAAGTAGCTTGGTTCCTGGAGGCCAGAGTGGAGGATTGAATAACATGCGCCCTAGGTAAAAGGGATGGGATAAAGGGGCTTCTGGAATCCGTGGTGGACACACAATGCACAATGGCCCCGAGGCGCCTGTGCTTCAACCACATCGTGCGGCCTTGGCGGCAGGAGCCCTCAAATCTTCCAGTCTACAGAGACATAGTGAAAGGATAGTCGGGATTTTTGTCGCCCGCTAGACTAGGCTTGCTCGAGGGAAGCTTCCCCTCATGATCTCTGGCTTCATTTACAATGGGGTGAGCAGCTCAGGTGTCGGCGGTGACGTTGTGAGGGGCGGTTTTAAAGCGGGGCACTGACTGACCTGTCGACATGCATGATCGAGCCCGAACAGCGCCCGTTCTCACTAACGACGACAAAACAAAGCTTGAGCGAACTTCCAATCAACCATACACTCGCTACATATTCGCTGGTTCCCCCCTCTCACGATCCTCGCATCGCCGAATCTTACTGGAACCACCGGCCCTTTTGGTCGCAGCGATGGCGGGCAAAGCCGACAAGATCGACAAGATCATCGCGCGCCTGCAGCAGCGCATCACCGAGGGGCAGTTCTACGAGGCGCAACAGCAGACCCGCGTCGTCGCGGCCCGCTACACCAAGGCCTCCAACTGGTCCGCCGCCACCGACATCCTCTACAATGTCTCGCAGTCTCTGCTCAAGGCCGGCCAGGGCGGCAGCGGCGGCGATCTCAGCGTCCTGCTAGTCGACGTCTTCAAGCAGGCCGAGCTGGTGCCAGACGCCGTCAACAAAGGCAAGCTGCTCGCCTGTTTGAGGCTGTTTCCGAGCGAGGAGCCCACAAGGAAGAAGTTCATTGGAGAGATGATTGCGTGCGTTCTGCCGTTTGCTCCCACCCCGCTCGTTTTGGCCGCAAGATGATGCGTGGTGCGTACGAAGCTGACTCGGCGTGCTTCCCAACCGCTCTAGCTGGTCCTCCAAGTTTGGCGAGTTTCCGGCCGGCGACCCCGAGCTCCACCACGTTGCCGGATCACTATACGCCGAGGAGCACGAGACGTACGACGCGGAGCGGCACCTGGTCCTGGGCACCAAGGACTCGCCCGAGATCCTGGCGCGGATGGAGTACGAGTGGTACAAGGAGGACGAGTCCCACACGGCGCCGCAGTACGCGGCCCGCGCGGTGCTGCCGTACCTGCTGGTGGGCAACCTGCGGGCGGCCAACGCGTGCTACCGCGCCTTCACGAGCCGCCTGAGCGCCGACAACCAGGGGCTGGGCGTGCAGGACGTCAGCAGCAGCGGCGGCGGCGGCGACCTGCGCGTGTTCCCCAGCCTGCCGCTCCTCAACTTCCTCGGACTGCTCCTGCTCGCCATCACAAGGGGCAGCCCGGACTCGTTCAGGCAGCTGGCAGCCAAGTACGCGCCGCACTTTGCCGAGTCCCCGGCCTGGGCGGAGCCCCTCGAGATCGTGGCCGAGATGTACTTTGGCATCGCCAGGCCCCGGCAGAGCAACCCGCTCCTCGACATGATGGGGAGCCTGTTCAGCGGCGGCGGCGGCGGCGGGGCTAGTGCAGGGAGGAAACCTCCTGTCCAGCGCGTCGAGGCGCCCATGGCCGAGGGGCTTGACTAGGTATGGTGCGGAACGAAAAGAAGAAGAAAAAAATAGGTAGCTTCTGATTGTAGTTTATACCCGAGTACAGCATGACGATGCACATGAAGGAAGCAAGTTCTGACATCACATATTTGCGAAGCTTAAAGCCGACGTCGCCGTCATGCACATTATGAATACCGTGGTGGCTCTTCCCTCTCAAACATCCAGTTGTCTTCTGATAAGGCGGCCACTTTTGCCCGCAAGCTTGCTCGGACGGCCTCGAGGATTTCTGTCGCAAATGCGGGGGCTCATGTTAACCAAGCGGCGCTGTCGCCGGCCAGCGCATGGCCGTGAGGGGGAGATTTGACATACCTTCAGGCTGGGCGGGGACACTATTCTGGTTGATTTGATGATGCTTCACAACGTCCGCCAGCCGTTGGCGTTCCTCTGAGCGCGGAGCAGATGCACACACGCCGGTCAGCAGCTTGGTTCCGCGCGGTGGAAAACACGGCGTGGTAACAAAAAAAGGAAAACACCCACTTTCACTCTGCTGCCTCGGGTCCAGCGCGATCTCTTCCGGGTCGTCGATCGGGGGCGTGGGTGGATCGTCCAGCTCCACCTCGCCGTTCTTGTCCCGGACAACAATGTCGGAGGACTCGGCCGGGGCGTCGGCGTCGAGGCGCAGGGTCTCGGACTCGCCCGACGACGTTGGCGTCGGCCGCCGGGTGAGCTGGCTCTGGAAGAGGTTGCGCCGGACGCTGCTGGACACGGGCGGTCGCGCCCGGGATATCCCCTGGGGCTGGCGCGCCGCCTGTCTGTCTGCCATGGATGCGGTAGGGAATGCAAAGTTTTTTGTTTCCTTTCTATTGCTGCAAGTATATGTACTATTGACAACAATATTAGGTGTAGGTCTGAGCAATAGGGGTGGGTTGTCTGCAGGTCATATTGCGCTGGGTTGAAAACGGAGGGAGTGGTTATAGCTAAAAGGCGACGATCGGACGGAAAGCGAGCGATGAGGCCCACTGTTGGAGAGATCCGTACGTCAACGACGATGTGCAAATCACAACGGCTTGTATTATTCATAAAACAGGTGCAAGCAATCTATAGCAATTGGCTGCCCTCAAGATTAGCCCCTAGAGGGTTCAACCCTGGAATGGCTGCTTGTCCCAGACAAAACAGCTTGGCCAATCTACAGCAACGCGGGGTTCCAAATATCACCAGAGCACGTGCTGTAGTCTATTAAAGTCGCGTCCATAATAGTGGGTCCCTCACGTCACGTCAAGGCCTGGTCGCGTTCTCCCTTGATTGATTAGTCTGGGCACCCCTGCTTGGACCGTCAATTACTCCAGCACAGAACCCACTAAGCCGTGCCTGTGGCAACGACAGTTTTCGCCCGTCTGATGTCGCACATGTTGTACTGACGCCAGCGACTCTCGCAAGCACCCATCAACAACCCGCCGCAATGCCTGCCGCCGTCCTGCCCCAGAAGCGCGAGTTCGGCGAGGCCTCAAACGCCCGTAGGAACATCTCGGCCGGTCCCGATAGCTTCAAAAAGAGGAAGATCGAGCCGCCAGCGTCGTCCCCGGCCGCGCCACGCTTCAAGAGCTCCCAGGGCCCCAAGCTCGGGTCCAGCCAGCCCAAGAGCACGTTCGAGTCCGAGGTCCTCGAGAAGCTCAGCCAGGACATCTCGGAGCTCAAGCAGACCAACACCGAGAAGGACCAGGCATGGGGCCGCCCGCCAGTGCCCCGGGATTTCGCCCCCGCGACAAGCAACCTTTGCTTCCAGTCCATCGAAGCCGAAGAGGGCACCCTCCATGGCGGCCAGGCCACGGTCAAGCTCTTCGGTGTCACCGAGCAGGGGAACTCGGTCATGCTCCACGTCAAGGACTTCAAGCACTACCTCTACGTGGCCGCCCCCTCGACCTTCTCAAAGGAGGACTGCTCGTCCTTCAAGACCTTTCTCGAGACCGGCGTCGCCCAGCACCAGCCCGCGATACACTCGGTCCAGTTGACGCTGCGCGAGAACATGTACGGCTTCCAGAATAACACTCAAAATCCCTTCATCAAGGTCACCGTCACGGACCCGAAGCACATCAACACGGTGCGCACAACCATCGAGTCGGGCAGGGCGAACTGGAAGGGCATGTGGAGGAATGATGGCAGCGGCATCATGACGTTTGACAACATCCAATACGTCCTGCGCTTCATGGTGGACTGTCACATCCAAGGCATGTCCTGGGTCGAGGCGCCGGCGGCCGCCTACAGCCTCATTCATGCATCCCAGAAGCAGTCCAACTGCCAGATCGAGGCTGAGATCAGCTACCGGGACCTCGTCGCGCACAAGCCGGTCGGGGACTGGTCCAAAATGGCGCCCCTGAGGATCCTGTCCTTCGATATCGAGTGCGCGGGACGCAAGGGTATCTTCCCCGAGGCCGAGATCGACCCCGTCATCCAGATCGCCAATGTTGTCACTAGGTATGGAGACAAGAAGCCCTTCGTCCGCAACGTCTTTTGCCTAGACCAGACGAGTTCCATCGTGGCGACGCAGATCCTGGAGTTCAGTCAGGAGGAGAAGATGTTGAGGGCCTGGCGTGACTTCCTGGTCGAGGTCGACCCGGACATCATAACCGGCTACAACATTTGCAACTTTGATTTTCCATACCTCCTCAACCGTGCCAAGTACCTCAAGGTCAAGGACTTTGACCAGTGGACCAGGCTACCGAGTGTGAGGTCGACGGCCAAGGATTCGAATTTTTCCAGCAAGCAAATGGGCAACCGCGACACCAAGTCAACGAACACAAATGGCCGCCTGCAGCTCGATTTGCTCCAGCTGATTCAGCGAGATCACCAGCTTAGGAGTTACACCCTCAACTCTGTCTGCTCACATTTCCTCGGCGAGCAGAAGGAGGACGTGCACTACACCATGATCACAGAGCTTTTCAACGGAACTCCGGAATCACGAAGACGTCTTGCCCTGTACTGCCTGAAGGACGCGTACCTGCCCCAGCGTTTGATGGACAAGCTGTCGTGTCTGGAGAACTACACGGAGATGGCCAGAGTCACGGGCGTGCCCTTCAACTTTCTCCTATCCAAGGGTCAGCAGATCAAGTTCGTCAGCCAAATGTTTCGCAAAGCTCTGGAGCAAAAGCTGGTTGTTCCCAACCTCCGGGTCGAGGGCTCCGACGACCAGTACGAGGGTGCTACGGTCATAGAGCCCACGCGTGGTTACTACGATGCCCCTATTGCCACACTCGATTTCGCGTCCCTGTATCCCAGTATCATGCAGGCTCACAACCTCTGCTACACCACCTTGATCAGCCAGAAGGCGATCGATGCGTTCAAGCTGGAGAAGGATGAGGATTACACGGTGACACCGACCGGAGACATGTTTGTCACTGTCAAGCGGCGCAAGGGACTGCTGGCGCAGATTCTGGAAGAGCTGCTCTCTGCCAGAAAACAAGCCAAAAGAGAACTGGCGGTGGAGACAGACCCGTTCAAGAAGGCAGTACTGAACGGTCGACAGCTGGCCTTGAAGATCAGCGCCAACAGTGTGTACGGCTTGACGGGCGCCACCAACGGCAAGTTTCCGTGTCTCCAGATCGCCAGTAGCACCACCAGCTACGGCAGGCAAATGATCGAGAAGACAAAGCAGGAGGTGGAGGCAAAGTACCGGATAGCCAACGGCTACTCGCACGACGCCCAGGTCATCTACGGCGACACGGATTCGGTCATGGTCAAGTTTGGCACCAAGGACCTCGCCGAGGCCATGAAGCTGGGCGAGGAGGCGGCGCAGTACGTGTCGTCCAAGTTCATTAAGCCCATCAAGCTCGAGTTCGAGAAGGTGTACTTCCCGTACCTGCTGATCAACAAGAAGCGGTACGCTGGGCTGTACTGGACCAAGCCCGAGAAGTACGACAAGATGGACACCAAAGGAATCGAGACGGTGCGACGAGACAACTGCCTGCTGGTGCAGACGGTTATCGAGAAGGTGCTCCGGATGATCCTGATCGACCAGGACGTGCTGGGGGCCCAGGACTACGTCAAGGAGACGATCGCGGACCTGCTCCAGAACAAGGTGGACATGTCCAAGCTGGTCATCACCAAGGCGCTCACCAAGGACGACTACACAGCAAAGCAGGCGCACGTGGAGCTCGCGCAGCGCATGAAGAAGCGCGACGCCGGGTCGGCGCCCGGGCTAGGCGACCGCGTGGCGTACGTCATGGTCAAGGGCGCGGCGGGATCCAAGAACTTTGAGCGGTCCGAGGACCCCATCTACGTGCTAGAGAACAACGTGCCGATAGACACCAAGTACTACCTGGACAACCAGCTGTCCAAGCCGCTGGGCCGCATCTTCGAGCCGATCCTGGGCGACACCAAGGCCAAGTCGCTGCTGATGGGCGACCACACGCGGTCCATCTCGGTGGTGGCGCCGTCGGTGGGCGGGCTCATGAAGTTCGCCAAGAAGACGCAGACGTGCATGGCGTGCAAGAAGCCGCTGACGTCAAAGGAGGAGTCGCAGGGCGCCGTGTGCGGCGACGACGCGGGCCGGGTGGGCGAGCTGTACAAGAAGACGCTAGACCGGGTGTCGGACCTCGAGGTGCGCTTCGGGCGCCTGTGGACGCAGTGCCAGCGCTGCCAGGGCAGCATGCACTGCGAGGTCATCTGCAGCTCAAAGGACTGCCCCATCTTTTACATGCGCATGAAGGCCAAGAAGGACCTCGAGGACGGGAACAAGGAGCTGAAGCGGTTTGATTTTGACAGGGCGGCAGTGTGGTAGTTGTAGTGTGTGTCTGAGTGTCTTTATCTTGGGGCTTCATCAACGTCTGTCTTTTTGGGGTCCATAAACATATCCAGATATAACTGACGTTGGCGTCGTATGGGGGCATGGCTATGTAGAGGGAACTGTGCGGGCGTTATATGACAACTAGGTTGTGGGCAGTCGTGTGCATTTTGCGAACTAATCCGAGCATTATCTTGTGCGGGTGAGAACTTCCAATGCTGTTGGGAAGAATATGCAATCGGTGTTCTCCATTGTCTTTTTGCTCAAGCACATGCTTTTTTGGCTTCCACACCACGGCTTTCCCCTTTTGGGCAGCCAAGGAGCCTCCCATTGGTCCCAGGTCAGAGGTTTCGCTCCTGAGACCACACAGCGGGTCGGAAAGCTGTTTCTTGGCCCGTGCACACAGCCCTTGACATGGAGCTCTCCCGCGCCACGCCAGGGTCTGCCGCTAGCGCTATACCCCTTTCGGATCCCGCGCGTCAAAGGCTCGGCGGAGTTTTTTTGGCCAGGGGAGTGAGGGAGAGATCAAGAACTATGCAGCGTCAGCACAGAGTGGTCTGGCTTTGTAATCGGATAGCGGGCGCCTCCTCATTCTCCTTCTGATCCTGCTCTCACTCACACACGCCCGACCGGGCTTGTCATCTCTGCCTAAGGACAAAGCCGCCGATCTTGGGCAAGCTGGCGAGCTCGGGTTTCGGGATCGTCTCATCTGTGATTTGTGATGGGCCGGGCCTGGCAGATTGCGGATTTGCGCGCGCGGCCGCATGTGGGGAACGGGTCCGTCAATGAGTCTCCCAATCTGTTGTCCCATGGAAACGCAAAACGGAAACACGTATATATATCGAGGGAGCTGTTCCCCCTTTGTCCTGTCGTCATCAGTTTGATATACATCATCACTACGCTACTCTCCCACCGCAAGCAGTCCCATCTGCCCCGTTGAGATATATCGACATATATATATATATATATCCCCCTTTCCAGCTCAGCCACTTGCTTCTACATCTCTTTCCCAGCAACATCGTCTAGCCACCACCACCCACAATGTCGACCTCGCCCAAGACCGTCGTCATCCTGGGCGCCTCCATGGCCGGCCTGCCCCTAGCCCACAACATCCTCAAGAACACGGCCCCCAAGGTTCCCGGCGGCCTCAAGGTCGTCCTCGTCTCGCCCAACACCCACCTGTACTGGTGCCTCGCCTCGGTGCGCGGCGTCCTCCCCGGCGCCGACGGCGGCTTCGGCGACGACAAGCTCTTCTACGAGATCGCCCCGGGCTTCGCAAAGTACACGCCGGAGCAGTTCGAGTTCGTGCTCGGGTCCGCCACCGCGCTCGACCCGGCCGCCAAGACGGTCACGGTGCAGCCCAGCAGCGGCAGCGGCAGCGAGGAGGGCGCCGCCGCCGAACCCAAGACGCTGAGCTACGACTACGTCGTCGTCGCCACGGGCTCGTCGGCCCGCGACGGCATGCCGTGGAAGACGGCGGGCGACACGGCCGCCACGCGCGCCCTGCTCGAGCAGTGGCGCGCCAAGGTCGCCGCCGCAAAGTCCATCGTCGTCGCCGGCGCGGGCCTGACGGGGATCGAGGTCGCCGGCGAGCTGGGCGACGCCTACGCCTCAAAGGGCACAAAGGACGTCACCATCGTCGTCGACGACGACCTCCCCCTGCCCGACAAGTTCTCCCGCCCCGTCCGCGCCGCCGCCCTCGCCGAGCTGGAGCGCCTCAAGGTCAAGGTGCTGGTCAGCCGGCGCGTCACGTCGGCAAAGGAGGCCGAGGACGGCACCGGCGTCGTCACGCTCGAGATTGCAAACAAGGCAGGAGGAGGAGGAGGAGGTGGCGGCGACCCCGAGACGCTCACGACGGACCTGTACATGCCCACCTTTGGCGTCGTCTTCAACACCGCCTTCGTGCCCGCCGACCTCCTCGACGCCGCGGGGCGGGTCCGGACGACGAGCCGCCTGCGCGCCGAGGGCCATGACGACGTCTACGCGCTCGGCGACGCCGCGTCCCTGCAGCCGCCCAACGCGATGCACATCGAGCCGCAGGTCGCCTACGTCGCCAAGGACCTGGCGGCGCGCCTGCTCGCGCCCGACACGGCGGCGGCGGCGGCGGCGCCGCCCGCGGCCGAGTTCAAGCCCAGCGAGACGATCATGTTCATGGCCTCGATCGGCAAGGGCCGCGGCGTCGGGCAGGTCGGGTCCTTCAAGCTGCCCAGCTTCGCCACCTGGCTCGTCAAGAGCCGGACCCTGCTGACCCAGAGGGGCCCCGCCACCGTAGCCGCCTAGTCGGGGCTCACTTCGCTGTCGTGCTTTTGATTGTGCTTTCTTTCCTCTTGTTTAGTGATACCTTTTTGCACGCTCTCTAGATTTTCCTAGTGTCGATAGAATCTCATGTCTTCGTATTAAGACCATACCATAATATAGCCACATTAATGTCCGAGATACCGTATCAAGGAGTACAAGCGATTCACACCCCTCAAGTCTACATTTTTTATTCTTTTTCCGGCTGAAATGTGTTGAACGCTGTTCCACCTGGTTTCGTCAGGTCGTTTTAATCTTCACCACCTTCACATACATGACCACACAACAATGCACAAGTTTTGAAAATACCATGTATGGCCGAGTTAGACGGCATTGGTAAATACTACGCGCAGTCGACGGTCGACAGTGGCTAGGTACCTGGTTATGGTCCATCCTCGAAGGTGGACCAACAGAAGTGAGAAAGGAGAAAGCAAAATGGGTATAAGCGAGCAACGCAAATGATTCCCAGAAAAAGGGAAGGACCAAGAGAATCCCAGAAACAAATAAAATGGGAAGGACCAAGGGTATGATGGCCCATGGCTCCCGTCAGCAAAAGGCTGCATGTGAATGAAGGGAAAAGGGTATTCCAGGCACATATGTGGTGACAAGGATTGGTGACGGATCGCGCGTCCGCAGCGATGACACAATTAAAACAGAAAGAGGAGACAAGGAGAGTAAGAAAGGAAAGACAAGCCGACTCTGAACACCACGCAATGCTCCAATAAATGCCATGCCATGCCTGTTCAGGCCAGATAATCCGAATCCGGTTGTGGTTGTAGTTAGTTTGTGGGTTTCACAAGAAAGGAAACCAGGGGCGTGCCTTGCCCCAACGTCCTAGAAAGATTTGCCGGCCGACGCCACCGTCGTGTCCATGAGCGTCAAAGACCGAAAGAATGTCAGAATTCACCATTGACAGAATCCCCTACACGCCGCCCCGAGGTACTCCGTGTTCCGTTGGTTGTTGGTTGTTAGATGTTGTTTTGTGGTTTATTGTGTTTTTTTTTTATCTTGATGTCGAGGTTTGTTTCTCCTCGGCAGGCGTGGTTGTGAACCAAGCATTGCTCCTAGGGGTGCAACTAGCCCCTCCTGAAAAGACGCTTGGTTCCGCCAACCTTGCCCATCTCGCCAAAGATCTCGGGCGGGGGCGTGCCCATGGAAGGAACCCTGCGATCGCCGCTAGCGATGCGCACCTTCTCCTTGACGCTGGCGACCCATGCCCTGCTCTCGTCGCTCATCTCGACGTTCTTGGACCGCGGGCCCGACATGCCAAGCGAGCTGTCCTCCTCGGTCCAGCTGAGACGGGAGCTGGACCTGGATCGGGTCGAGACGCCCGACGGAGGCGTGTCGGCACTGTCGCCTTCGGGTCCCGGAACAGGCACGAGAGGCACGGGTGTCCTTGGCAGCTGCGCCGCCAGGGGCAAGTGATGGCGAATGGCGTCGTCGGGGCCGAAGCTGCGTCGTGTCTTGCGCACGTTGAGAGGCGTGATGGGCGAGTCCATGGCCGATGCGGGCCGGCTGGCTGGGCTCGAGGTGATCTTGGATGGCATGCCTGGGAGATCCTGAATCTCAATTTTGGTGGTTTCGCCAGCAACCTTGGACCGGCGTCCATGGTGGATGGCGTACTCCTTGAGGTACTCTCCCAGATCAGCCCAACCGCCTCCAACGCGGACCATGACCCGCTCCCCATTATCGCCGACGCAGCGGATGAACAACTTTATCGGAGCCTCCCCGCTTGAACGTGACAGATGGTAGAGCTTGATGTCCTGGTTGGACCGTTGAGCCCGAGACCTGGTGTTGCGCGTGTACGCAGGCGCGAGGAGAAACGAGGGTGTCCCAGCTCGCGATCCCGCACGCGACGATGCCGACAGACTGGAGTGGCTGCGCGTCTGCTGGCTGCGGTCGAACTGGGCCGACGACTTGCGCTTGAGGTGGGGGAGCTGGAGATCGGGAGGGTTGAGGTGGTTCACCGGCGTCGGCTGCGACGATAGATGGATCTTAGCCGGGATCGACTCCAGAATCTCGCTGATTTGCTGCTGGAGTTGATCGTCGTCGCTTCTGTCCGACGGACTCCTGGTGTGGCCGCGGCGCTGCTCCGATTTCTTGTCCCCCATGGGGGATGGCTCGAGCGACGACTTGGGGGGAATGTCCTCATCCAGCACATCGCTCTCCGGCACAACGGGCATCCCGCTGAAGGAGACGGACCGGGACTTGGGGTCGCGAGGCATCAGGGATGGCGTCAACGAAGGCGAGCCCGGGGGGCTGAGCTCCATCGCCGCCCTCACTTCTCTGCTGCGCGTCCTCGGCAACGGGGCAGTTACCGTTCGATTGCTGCTCATGCTCACCGACCTCATGGTCGCAGTCGCCGTCATTTCCGAGCCAGAGCTCGACGACCTATCGGAAAATGCCGACCCCATCACCCTCTCGTGCTCGGGCGACAGTGATTCCCTGTCCAAACCAGGCGATCCCATTGACCCCTCCGAAACGGACGGGCTTGCCGGCACGTCGTGCCGGACGACCGACGCCAACGAGACGGGGGAAGATGCCGTAGAAGACGGTTGTGCCGCGCGCTTGGGGCTGTGACTTGGCGTGTGTTGCGCCATCTGGGTGCCATTGGCCATCGCCCATTCAGTCTCCCTCAGCACCCTCTCGCAGACCGCGACCCATTCGGCGTAGTTCTTCTCCAGCTTGTCCATCCGGTCGACCCACTCGTCTGGGATGGTCTCTGGCCTACCGTCCAGCGTATCGAGCATGAAATCGATAGCACGAGCGGCCGTCGAGATCTTCTGGTCGAGCACAAGCTTCATGACGCCAAAGTCTTTGTGAGAGAGGGCTGGCAGCGTACCGGTCGTGGGGCTGTCGGGAGACGTCGAGGCGGCGCTCCTACGCTTGCCCAAATCGACCGCGTTCCAGCCTGACCGCAGAGCGACCTCCGCATCGTCGAGGAAGGCAATGGTAGAAGGGACCTTCCGCAGAAGCAGAAGCCGGACGCTCCATGTGTTCATCAGACGCATCAGTTTTGACAGGTTCGGGAGCGCCTGCACAACCGTGGCCGTGAGCAGCGCAGTCACGTCGTCCATCCTATTGTAGAACATGGATGCTGATGATATCGACCGGCCGCAGTCAGACATGGGAGTCCCAGGTCTCGAGAGCGGCAGGATGTGGTTGTGCAGCACATGTCTCTTTATCGTCTCGATGTCGATCTCGTCCAATTCCCGCTGGATCTCTGCAATGCGCCGCTCGTAACTGGCCACCTCTTGAGCCTGGAGACAGCCCAGCCAGGCATTGTCGCTGGCAGGATTGCTGTCCACAGCCTCGAGGTCCTCGGAGGTTATCGAATCCCACCGACTGTGTCCTGTCCGCCCCCGTCCCTTTGGCGAGGACGGATCGAAGCCTGCCGAGCCGGAGCCCGAGGGCCATTGCCACGATGAGAGCTCATCTAGCCAGTCTTGAATCTTTTTAGACGCTATCGCCGCTGCCATGGCGAAGGACTGGTCCGAGAGGGTAGCTGCGTCAAGACATTGCTTCAGCGTCCCCGTGGGGTTGCGGAGAGCTTCTATAGCAGCAGTCGGGGTGAGGGTCGCGAGCAGCTCGTCGGTTGGGCGTTGCCGTGTGGGCGATGTGCCTGGCGATGACCGCCACAGCTGCCGGGGCGTGCTGGAGGACAGTACGAGGCCCGGGGGCAAGGGGGGAGAAGGGGGTTCTCGTTCATGGTGATGTCAGGGGGACCGGGGCTGGGCCGGTCGTAGACTTTCGGGATTCGGTTGGTATGAGGTAATTGACGGGTGGTTGTCGACTGGGGGGAGGGCGTGGCGTTCCGGCGTCCAGGTCTCGAAGGGTGAGGAGTGTTGTAGATAGGCGGCTAGCGCTCAGGAGTCGAAGATGATGCGAGGAGATGGAGAGAATCGTGTCGACGATGACGAGCAGAAGCTGGAAGAGGACGGTATGGCGAGAGTTTAGAGTGGTCTGGATTTTTGTAGCACAGGGCACCCGTCGCTTTCCATCTCCTTCGCACTACGTCGGCTTTGATGTCCGTTTGGGCTCTTTGAGAGCTGGTTGGACGGCGGGCTGGCGCAGCAGCGCAATGCTGGCGGGGACGCCTGAGACCGCGGCTGACAAACGGATGTGCCGGCCTCTACAAAGCGACGGAGCCATGCGAGGGCGCCATTGTCGGCAAAGGAGGGGGAGCAAAGGGGGAAAGAAAGAAGAAGCAAGGAAAAATGACGGATGGGAAACAGCAAAGACGCAAGGATGAATCACCAGAGAAAGAAGAACGACGCAATTCAGAAAATGAGGCGGAAAAAGAAGGTGGGGGCTGCAGGTAGACAGGGACAGGATAAACAAAGGAGGCCGTTGGGCTGAAGTTGGGGCGAAGGAACAAAAGGAACGTGGTGGTGGTTGAAGCTGGGTTTGCGCGACGCTATTCTCCTCCCAACGCCAGACAGACGATGCAAGAAAGCTCTCGCTCCTTCATGCGCTGGCAAAAGACGCTGAGCCGCGTTTGCGCCGAGGTGGATAAAATTGGACGGGCATGGAGCCAGCAGGCGGCCAAGGATTTGCTGGGCCCCCCGTCGTCGTCGTGGCGGGCAGCTGCGATCTCTCTGGAACCCCCGGGCGGACCCCACCGGTGGAAAATTCGGAAATCACTTTAACCAGAAATCAATAAAACAAAAACGCACGCGCTACGTAAACGAAAGGGCCCGCGCTAGGCCAACTTGGCACAAATTGGCCCGGGCGCGAGGCGGCAAGTGGAGGAGATGGGGTACTGCCCTCCTCCGAATGCGGTAAAGGATGGGATGGGCTCCCCTTTCCCTTGTCCGGAGCCATTAAGGCCCTGCAAAAGCGCGTTGTCCCAGGCATGGAGCGACGACGTAGCCTGGCTTTTAGGACGACAGATGCGGCGTGATGCAATTCGGTCATTGACAGGACATGGGCCTTCTTTTGCTCCCGCGGCTTGTGAAAAGCGCCGGGGCGTCATCTGTCAGCTGTCTTGTATAATGTTTTGCCTCCCCCTCTGTTTGTTTCGAAGCTAGCCTACACGCTTGTGCACTCGCTCGGCAGTAGCAGCGCTTTTGGTGGCTTCATTATTACGACGCTCTTTTTTTTTCTCCAGCCTGTCTCGGCACCCGCAAGCGAGCAAAGTCCATCCGTCCCGCGCCTCCCGAGTGAGACAGTGTTTTGTCCTGGCCGTCCCACGCACAGCCTCCAGTCTTCGATTGGTCTCGACACGCGCCAACTGCCAACTCACTGCACCGCTCGCCGCATAATTTTATCCATCGTCATTGGATCCCGTGCATGCCCCTTGTATCGTGCAGCTAAGCAGCCTGGATCCGTCATAATGTTTGTTCGGAGCATAACCTCGGCATGGTCGGGCGGGAGGGTGGATGGATGACACCTGGAAGCCTGGCTTTTGCCGGCATAAAAGACTACCACTATTGATGGAAAGAAAGGAAGCAGAAAAGCGAAGAAAAAAGAAAAAAGCAACGCCGGAACACAGCTTGTCGATGAGCCCCGTTTCTGGCAACAACGTGACAACATCGACAAGGAGATCCACCCCGCTCCCAGGTATCGCCTAGGAGACGTGTGCCTGGACAGGGCGCGCTCGGGGCACCCGCGCGAGATCACCGTGGAGAAGCGACATGGGTTTCCCGGATGACCGTGATCCGTTCTGGACTAGCTTGTCCTGGGCAACCTGGGGTTTCGCCGGTTCCAGCCTTGGACCAGCTCAAGGGCGAACAAAATGCGTGCATTGCCGTTTTTTGTGCCCCTCTCCCCTGAAGAATAGAAGGAATAGAATGAATGCCCACCATCCAACACCAGCCCATGACTTGCATATAAATAGCTCTTCAGCATGCGTCTTGCCTGCTGGCCCGGCTGCGTCCGCCCGGGGGGTTCCGCGAATGGTGGTGTGTCACATAGGAGGAGTACGGCTCGGTCCACCTCCAAACGCGACGACTAGATAGACTCACGGTGTCATACGAGATCCGGGCATTTCCAAGCCATAATATTCGTGTCATGACATACAAGTCGCGCCACAGAGACCCCTCTTCCAAAAAGAAAAAGAAAAAGAAAAAAATGCGCCTCTTTATAGCCCAGGGATTCTACACATAGAGAACCAGCGCAAGTGCAACTGAAAAAAAAAAAAATCATGAAAAGTGCACCCGCAAGGGCGATACCGTTCCCCTTAACCCAATCCCATCAAGTCGTCAGGTATCAAATCAAATCGACCTCGTCCAACATTTGAAAATCCCAAAGAGACCAAATCCTTGTGCCCCCCAAGTAAAGACTTTTCAAACGCCATGAAACTCCTCCGGCAGTCCAGGTCTTACACAAACAGAGACAGTGTACGACTCATAGGACCTCCCGTGTAATCTCCCAAGCAGAAACAGCCACCCGCCCAAGCACAAAAAAATCCATATCATGGGGACAAGATAAAACGGATACGCGCGTTCCAGCTCAGGCGCTCGCGGCAATCGGCTGCGCGCCCGCGTCGGCCGACAGGCTGTCGACCAGCATCAATTCGTGGATCGGGTCGGCGTCAACGTCCCCCGTGTGCTCCGCGGTCGCCTGCGCCTCGGCGGCATCGGTGCCGCCTCCGTTGTTGCCCTCGTGGCACCCGTCAACGCCGACGCCGCCGGAGCCCTCCGCCGGGGGGAACTGGAGCCACTGGTCGAAGTCGAGGTTCGTGCCCGTCACGGCGTTCCAGTCGAACTCGTCGTGGCCGCTGCCAAAGTCGACCACGTCCATCATGTCGAACCCGACGTGCTCGCCGTCGCCCGACGAACCCCCGCTGGCCGACGGCGTCAGCCCGACCGCCGAGTCGAGGTCCCTCTCCGTGTGTGGCGGTGAGTGGCCCGCCGCCACGACGTCCGCCGCGAGGGCGGCCGGGTCGATGTTGTTGCCCAGGCTTCCACTGCCAACGGGCTGCTGATGAGGTTGTTGTTTTTGTTGCTGCTGTTGCGGCACAGTGTTGTTATATGACCGCTCACCGTGGAACAGCCCCATCTCGATCCGGTTGATGTACGGGGCGTTCTCGGGCGGCGGGGTCGAGAGCTCGTCGCAAGCACCACCCATTTCGCGCCGTAGCGCAGCGGCGCCCGCCAGGTTGAGAGCAGGCGCGATGGTGGCCGGCTTATTCCTAAGTGACGGCTTCTGACCATAGTGGTGGCTCTGGCGCTGCTGGAACAGCTGTCGCTTGAACTGCTGCTGTTGCTGCATCTGTTGCTGCCGCTGTCTGTGCCCGCCCCCGCCGTTGGCCATGATGGTGCTCAGTGTCTCGGCGGCCCCGACGGGGTTGGGCTGGTTCAGGTCGATGGCGGCCTTGCGCAGGGCGGCGTCGAGGAACACTGTGGCGAAGTCGGCCGCCGAGTATATGTCGCGGAGCTTCTCCATGACACGCAGGAGCTGGCGGAAGCCCTTGGTCGCCGTGGCGCGCACCTCCATCATCGGGTTCTTCATCTCGAGCAGGTGGATGATCATGGCGGGGAGGATGACGGTGACACCCGTGGTGGGCAGGAAGCGCTCGAGCCGCAGCTGGTGCAGCTCCGACGCCATGTGCGTGATGCGGGCCGCGCTCTCGCGCACCCGGAGCCGCGACATATCCTGCACCTGGCGCGACGCCGTCGGGACCTGGAAGGGCGATGCCGGCAGGAACTGCGGCCGGTGCAGGGCCGACACGGTGGTGTAGTACACCATGTGGAGCAGGCTGCGCTGCACCGCCACCGTCGAGCGGCCCTGCTGGACGTCGAGCGGCGTCAGCGGGTGGTACTGGGCGGCCGGGGGCAGCGCCTCTAGCCAGCCTGTCAGCTCGAGGTCGACAACGTTGATGCTGTCGAGGTTGTCGAGCGTCTTGTTGGGGAACAGCATCATGGTGCTGTTGGTCGTGTTCTCGGGCTTGGTCGCGTCGCGGATGAGGACCGAGTATTGGGCCTTGAGCATGCGGCTTATCAGCACACACAGCTTGGCCTTTTGGATGCAGAGCTCAGCGAGCTCGCGCTGCATCCCCAGATCGCGCACCACGGCGCAGTCAGCCGACAGCAGCTGGTTCTCGTCCGACAGCGCCTCGAGCTCGAAGTCGGTTTCGGCCAGCATCGGCACGTCAAAGTCCTCGTCCTTTATCCTGGTGGGACGGCGCATTCCAAGCGCGACCAGCCTGTCCCGCATGAAGCATGACCACCAGATGCGCTTCCACAGTCTCTGCTTGCGGGGAGCCATGTTGGTGTTTCCCGGGTTGCGGTGTAGCCCGATGGTGTGGGCCAGCGAAATGGCGACGCCCATCCAGTGCCATGTATCCTTCTGATCGTCGGGTGTCTCGTACCAGTAGGTCATGAGCAGGAGTGCCTGCACCAGGACCAACCGGTCCGACTCGTAGTCGAAGTCGTACAGGAGCTACGGGGCACATAAGAGACGTCAGTCTGACAGCCGGATTGGCTGGAAC